ATTACTATTAATAATCGTAGCTATACACAAAGTCAAATTTTACTAGGATAACATCTTCAGTAAAGTTGTTTAGATCAATTAAAATATCAATTAACTTAGTAAACTTTGACTTTTATATGTAGCTATGATTATCAATAATATTTTATAAAAATTACTTTACCAGTATATCTAATAATCAAATATGATTGGCCAAAAGGCGTTAGACTATCAGTTTACTAATGTTAAATAACCTTCTATAGTCATTTGAATGTGAAATGACCCAATGACTAGTCACTAGTCATTTGGGTCTAATACACAAATCTGCATATTTTATAATTTTTGTATCTAATAAAAAACCATGCAGAAATTTAATTTTCTTGTTCTATTGTGAAATAATACTGTAAATTGCCGCATAAACCGCCCCCTTTATAGAAGACCCCCTTCTAGTAGACCCGGGTCTGTTACTTGGATTCAGTAAAAGGTAAAAAGTACAAGACCCGGGTTTATTATGTGATCACATATTATACTCATATTATATACCCGACTTAGGGTTGCTTAATTTAATTGGTCAATTATTTTTAACCACATAACAGACCACACTTATAGCTGCATAGTAGACCCTTCTCCGTACAGCAGAACCCCTGGGTCTAAATTGGTTTTTGTATTGGTTTAAAGTAACAGACCCCGGGTGGTTTATGTGGCAATTTATAGTACTCATGCCCAGGGTTGTAAAATTATGATAATTTATTAGTAAATTACTAGTAAGTTACTGTAAGTTACAGGTAAAAGTAAGTACTTGATAACTTACCATGGGAACTTATCAGTAGTTTACTGTAATTTACTATAGTAACTTACCATGATAAGTTACAACTAACGACTCTGCTCATGCTTGCTATTTCAAGTATTTATGGTAAATATGCTAATGCAGGCCAGGTATTATATTAATGTTAGTCAGATTATATGGTAATGCCAACCAGATAATTTTACTTGGGGTTATATTAAAAATCTTGTGTGGATTCTAAAAATAATATGCATCACATGCAAGATTAGGCGTGTATGCCCATCTCTAAGTATAATCATTATATATATGTGATAATAAATATTATATAAAGCAATAGTTATTACACATAGTAAAATTATTACTTGTAATAATTGTAATAATAAATACTATCTGTAATAATAATTTTACATAGTAAAATATTATTATATATAATAATGTTTACTACATGTAATAAATATTATTACAATTACTACTTTTTGTAATAAATAATTTTTACATTATTACATCTTGCAGTTTGAATTATGGCACCATTCATTACGTTTTGTAATCAAATTTGTTGAAGAGTCTCTTGATTTGCTATTGATGTATAATTAGATACCAAATACAGTGTTTGATAAAATCTAATAATCTTGAAAAGGAATAAAGTGAATGATTAGTATCATGAATAAATGTTGTAAATTCAGTATAAAAATTTAAATTTTTAAGAGCTGCTGATAATCCAAAGTCATTAAAGTTTCTGGTACTTGTATCAACTTCAAGAAATTTTGCATAACAAATTTCTCAAAGAGTCAGAGTTCTTGGCCAAGGATGTTTTAAAATAACAAATGCAAAACTACATGCAAATTCTCGAGCTCTTGGTTCACCCAATTGGCAAATACTTAAAGGTAAATGAAGCTATTCATTAAACCATTTTTGATGCAGCTCTAGAGCCTTTTGAACTCCAAGCTCTAAAGAAGTAAATAGAGACTCAAAAGTAGTTTGGTTAAGTATTTTACCTGCCTCTAACAATTCTTCATCAAAAAAATGATACAAATTTTGTATTATAGTTGATAACTCACATGTAGTACAAAGAATAAATTCAGGCATTTGGTGTAAACGACATTCTATCGGAAGGTGAGTAAATGAATTATTTCTAATAGGTTTAGAATCTGGATCGAATCCAGCTATAAATTGAATCATTGGACGATAAAATTTATTTCCAAATTTGACTAAACATTTTAATTGAATATTTAATAAAGGATCATTAAGCCAACTTTAAAAATGTTCTCATTTTCTAATATATCCTTGTGGTGTCTTTTTACATAACTTTAATTGAGGTATAAACCAATTCACAAATAAATTATGTGCATCATAATGATTGAGATATTGTTCTTCACATTTAAGCTCATAAAGCCAGCGAGTTGGAATTGGGTTTTGATATTTTGTCATTTCGAATCCTATTAAATCCTTATAAAGACAATAAATATGTTCAGATCATATATCTATAGGACTTTCTTTATCACTATCACCATAACTATCATGAAGTTTGTAGGCTAACTTTAAAAGATTAAATAGAATTTTTTTATCTGATAAACCTGCGGCTGGAGGTAGTTTTCCAAATACAGTCTCTTCAAAACCTATCATAATTATATGAGCTACATGAATTCTACAAGGAATTTGATGACATTTCGCATGATTTTTTAAATTAAATTTTGCTATAGCTCCTCCTAATTTGCCACTCATATAGTTTGTATTATCAGACAAACATGTAAAACATTGTTGAAACTCAAGTCCAAATTGAATACATGTATCCATAAAAGCTTGAGCAATAGTATCTCCATTACAATATATTAAATTCTTGACTTCAAGAAGACACATATCTGGTAAATTTGTTGAAAAGTTCCAATATATTATACAGCTAACAAAAATTTTTTGCTCTTTACGTTTTGATTCATCTCCCATCAAACCAAATGAAAAAAATTCTGAATTGCCGATATTTTTAGATAATTGACTAACATGTAATTCAGAAACTTCTTTGTGCCAATTAATAAGTGAATGAAGTGATGGACTTTTTGAATTCGGCTTTCCAGTTAAAAATCCTAAAAATAATTGTGTTGCTTCTATTGTGCTACAAAATGATAACTTACCAACTTGCGACATTTGTACTATTATATTTATAAAATCAGATTTATATTCTTTTTTGTTTTCCATTATAAGAGAATTAATTGCTGTATTAAAACTTCGAAAATCTGCTAATGGTCGTTGAGCATTTGCACGAATTTTAGAAATTTGATTTCTTTGTTTTCTTGTTAACTATGAAATTTTTCCACTTAAACTTCGAAGTTTTTGAGTAGAATTCACTTTAGACTTTTGAAGACAAGCAATAGTTTTTTGTAAATGAGTATTTTCTAAGTACAAATTATTATTGGTTTTAATTAATGAATTAGGTGTTTCATGAGTTTTATATAAACTCTGATCAATATATATTTTAGCTTTTTGTTAATGGTATAGTGATAAAATTTTTCCTACATTAGAACCTTTGAAATAGCGCATATTTTCAAACAATGCAGTAGCTAAATGAACTTGCTGATCAGGTAATTGCAAAATAGTAGATATTAGTTCTGCTCAGTTGTTATCAATTTCACTAGTTGTCTCAAAGTTTAATTTCTCAATAATATAATCGTAAACTTGGTTTAATTGAAGATAATTCATATTTTCCAAATATTGATTAATTTTATTTCGTAAGTCGGTATTTTTTTGTGATTTAAGTTTCTTTCTTGCAATTTTTAGCTGAAATTTTCATTTATATGAAGCTTTTAATTTTGGTTTATGGATACCTATCCTATACACATAGTATATTATAAGTTAATATTTAATTATATAAAATTAGATACATAGGCTCGCTATAAAATTAGATATTTAGACTCACTGGCTTGATAGTTTTCACTCAAATTTTTTATTTATAATAATTGTAACAATGTGAACAAAATTACAGAAAAAAATTTTACATTAATATGCAAGAAAAAATTATTAATCATTTTACGTAAATTTCTTTCTAATTTATATATAAATTTGTTCTTTGATACTCCGACTGATCTACAACTTTTAGAAATTTTATTATTATATATTTATTGATTGACCTTACATAGTTTTGATTAATTATAATATTAGACACCCTAAAATTTTAATGATCACAAGTTTTAAGATAATTGGCAAATTATATTTTGTTACACAAAACAAAACAAACCTAAAAATAACAATTCTGGATTATAAACCTGTTTTTTATTTCAACTGATTGGCTAATTTTTGTAGATCTACCATGGCCAAATAAACATTGATCTATTTTTAGATTTTGTCGTTTTACCATTTAAAAGTTTTTAAATAACTATAACTTTAAAATTTACTAATTGATTATATTTTCGCTATTAAGTAAAAAAAATTTAGCAGCAAGGTCTCACCTTAAATATTTAAAAAAAAAAAAAAAAATTTAGCATTAAAAATTATATCTGAATAATCCAAAAACTCATTTTTTTAAAAAAAGTCAAATTTGGCGGTTTCTACTTTTAACCACCCATATATTTATAATTTTTTAATTTTTAAACCATATAAAGTTAATTTTGGCTTTTAAAAAATTTTATATATTATATAAAATTTTTTTATAAAATTTTAAAAATTTATCTAAACAGTAAATATATTTTAATTTTTACAATTTTTTTGAAATTTGATTATGATGTTTATCTAACCAAATTCGACAAACTTTTTTTTCTTTATTGGACGTCCGAAGATTTACAAATAAAACGCAAGAATCAAGATATATACTTAAGCTTTTTTCTTAATATGTTAGGATAAATGACTTAAATATAAATTGGCTTATGGATGAAGTCAATAGCGATCTACACTTCGAAAGTGAAAGACAAGAAAAATCAAAAAATAAAATTTCCAACAAGTAGTATATAAAGATAATTTTGTTAATACATTAAATTACATATATTTAAACATTCGTTTCAAACATCTTAACAATTGCCATCCTTGCTAACCAACTTTGTAAAAGCCCTTGAGAATGAATATTTGAGAAAAATCCCGTTAGACAAAGACTTGATTCCGAGAGAGGCGCAGCATGCAAATCCATGTGAATATAATGGAGAAAATCAAATAAAATGTAGTGCTTGAAACAAATATGTAAAAATAATAAACAATATAAATGCATTAGTCCTAATATAAATAGTACATTATTTAGCGTTAATAAAATAAACAATACAAGTTAGGCAGATTGCGGGGGTTTAGTTAAGTTCTCAACAGATTCACATAAAGTATTATATTTATAAGAATTAAGCGGCCATGATCTTCCATCCCCTAAACTGAATACACTTAGTGTTATTTAACCATAGACAATATTTAGGCTAAAGAAAAATGAATAATGAGTAATGACTTACGAATTACCAATAGGAAGAAACCAAAAATACCATTCAGGACCCATTACTTGAATAAAATTAGCTCTGTACAAACGATTCAGTTCAATGTAAGAAAATAATTACATTCAAAATTAAATATATATAACAGTTCGTGATAATAACATACCTTTTACCAATGTCAAACAAATTCAAGTATTTACTCGTGGTAACATCACCATCGTCTTTGATTTTATAATTATGTTTTGATAAACTTTCTAAAGTTGTCTGATTGGAAAACAATAGAGAAGTGTGATATACCGCAAAACCTATTAAACATAAACCAAATATACCACCAATCAATATAAGAAATGACCAGTTTAAATCAAGGTTGATTATTGCCTTCGAATAGGTACAAAATAAATAGATTAGATAATAAAATATATGAATAAGTAACAAAGCTTAATAGATTAAAACATTAATTCTATTACCTCGTAAGAAGACTGAGCATATTGAATTGTGGGTGGAAGAGTGGCAAGTGTCACAAAGAAACAATATATGGTGCCCCACACGATAAATAAGTAGAAGTACTTGTGATTGCGAAATCCTATACAATTATTCAACCTTATAAAATAATAAAAATACTTAATATTAACTCACTATAATAAGGGTGTGTAATTAAAGCGCTTAATTTACCATGGACAATGACTAAAAAGTAACGATAAGATTAAGAATTGTATATTAAAATAATATAACACGGCTAATGTCACGGCTGATGCTGAAATTTGGACCTATTTTGATATATAATTTTTATCAGCTTCTTCTTTAAGGTTGGGTTAAGATTAGAATTAAGATTGATAATTAAAGGGTTTATGTGGATTTTAGCAGGACTTATGTTAGACCCCATATTTCAGCATCTGCTGCAACGATTAATATTAATAGTACTCACTGATCCATCTTTAAAACACACCTAAAGAAAGTGATTAAAGTAAATATAGATTTCAACAACTATCCATTGATTTCGTTAAAGAAAATGGGCTCACTTCTTGCAGACTCTACAGTGATGTGTTCTATCAGGCTTATCGTGTTGGCATTTTTGGCAATATCTTTTTTCACCACTCTGCTTTACCATTATCGACCCCACGGATACAGGATTTCCATTTTCATCCAAAACAATGGTTTTGGATTTAGTGGCAGGAACGTCAAATGAACTATCTCTATTTTCTATGTCATCGAGGTGAATTGGTGAATTACTATCAATACTATTTTGAGCAGAGTTAGATCTGCGTTGTTCCACGGAATGATAGGAAATTGATTGATGTGAACCTGTTGAGCCAGCTATCGGTGGCTATTTCAATAAAAAGAGTTTAATCTTGCATAATATTGGTATCAATAAACGTTAAACATGACTTACATCGGTGGAATATCCGGGTGAAGTTAGTGTAGCTTTGAAATAACTCCACATCATTAACACAAGAAGTGGATGGTAGAGAACGAGATACACCACTCCTTTATTATGATTCAATTTATACGTTACACGGTGATATATGTCATGAAGGGAATAATAGACACTTTTACGTCATTTTACCTTGGGTAGGATTTACGTTTAGCAGATATAGAAGGCATAAACGAAACACGAAAGCATAATATGACCAAGAAACTAATGCTATTAGAAACACTACTGGAATGTAATTTCCAATTTTAAACAGGAACTGGGCAAATTTGTTTTCTTCAAGCCATTTCTCAATGCCACTACTCTCCGATTGAACCATGACGGGAAGGATTAGAAAAGACGATCTGTATTTTACTTGAATTATAATCAATTTATGTATATCTATAGTAGTGTCATCAAAGCCATATTATCAGTCAAAGCCACAAACCGGTAGCACGAGTTTGATACAGATTTTATTTAATCTTTTCCCATAACGATAATTATAGTAACTTAATTCGGCAGACTTTTTCGTCTGAAAATGATACAGAAAAAAAAAAAAAAAAAAAACAGGCTCTATTCTTTCAATGAAGACAGATACGAATTCTCAATCAGAAATCAAATTATTGATGAAGAGAAAATCTATATTCTTTATACGTTTTAGTCAAAGGAATATGTCACAGTGATAATTGCAAGAAATACATAAACTATTGAAAAGGAAATTATAATAAAAACTATACTATACGTACCGTATGTTTCCGAAAATAAGCTACCCTTTTTGGACCACAAAAATCATGGGGGTAGCTTATTTTTGGGTATAATTAATTTTATCAATTTTTATTAACTTTTTATTAGTTGCAAGTAGTTGCTACATATAAAAGTCGAAATTCTACGAAATAAATCTACAAAATTCACTTAATACAGATTGTTCAGGAGAAAAGTTTTATTCAAATCGGAGAACTTTTTACTAAGATAGTTTTGTATTTTATATTCAAACATAAAATACAAAAACATCTTAGTAAATTTTTCCAATTTGCACGAAACTTTCAGGATGTGTATTTTTACCTCCTGAACAATTTGTATTAAGTGACTTTTGTCAATTTACTTAGTAAAATTTTGACTTTTATATGTAGCAACTACTTGCAGCTAATAGAAGTAGCTTATTTTCAGAACCAAAGTATTTCTCATGTTTTTTTTTCATGAGAAAAGAGGGTAGCTTCTTTTGAAAGTAGCTTATTTTCGAAAACATATAGTAATAATAATTACTATAGTGCAAGACTTCTTAAACAAGCTTTTATTATATTTTTGTGTTTTTATAAAAGCTAAGTGCTATAAGAATAGAGGAAATTGACTTGTAGTATTGTGATAAAAATAGTATTATAGTATTATAGTAGTTAGTTTTTAAGCATGTAACTATTTTTTTAGCACATGATTAAAGCCAGGTATATTATAAGATTTCTCAATAATTGATGATTATTGAGTAATTACAGAGTATATTTATTTAAATAATCATTCAATAACTTTTTTTTTTTTTTTTTTTTTAAGGTGAAATCTCACCTTATGTTATTTATTAAGTATATACGTATATAAATTATATATATTTATACAACAATTAATAGAACAGTGGTTTAGACTAATTATCTACGATCTATATCTACTAGAGCTGTCCATGTCCCACTCATATATTACCTGGATTTTGTGTACTACTAACTAAATATCCTATTCTAACCCTAATATATTTCCCACATTTCTTATACTAACAACCTTACACTCCCAATATAGTTCTAGTGCAGTATCCGTTACAGATCCCACTAGGGGGCACTAGGCAAGCGTAACCTCATGGCTACTTCCAGATTGGTGTAGTACATGTTGTCTGCCGTTACTGAGTTCATATCTCAAGCTATTATTTGTAATGCTGCTGTAACCCAGTTCATATTTCAAGCACAACCTTCCTTATTACGTATAGTGTTGATAATATGCATGCAGGACTTGATAACAAATACTCCTCTAATTGGTGAGTCTCACAGGTTATGGGCATCGAAACTTCCAACTGAGTTTTTCGGAGTATATATTGTACTACTTCCAGTATTATATATTGGTATTTTAAAGTTGGT